TCGCTCCTCTCTCATAACCGTACGCGTGGCGTCGTGAAGAACCCCGACAGGGTTTTTTGAGCAACTCTCACTCTTGCACTATTATACCGTAAAGTTATAAAGCAAATGACATACCACTCGGAAGAGCTTTTCATGCTCTTTTAAAAGATATGTTAAATGCCTAAGATTTCTTTTCAATTTCAGGAAAAAAAGGGAAAAAATCTGAAAAATAGCTATTTTTGGCGCAACAAAAAACCAAAAAATTATGTTTTGCCCTATATTTTCCGAAAATAGATAAAATCTGAGGCGTGCTGCATATGGATGGACAGAGCGTAAAAAGCTCTATCAGATGGTACCTAGAAAACATGCGTTCACCTGGAAAGAATTGAATAACGCGTATCTTCGTTCTCGAAGCTGCCAGTGGCCATATCTCCTGATTTGGAAGTTGAGGCCACCAAGCCGCCGTGGGTTTGGTGACTGTCCCACCACTCACTCCAGCAGTGGTACTTTGGGCGGTCTCACATATTTCACTGCGCAGATATGCTCAAAGTTCATAATTTGTCGAAGTAATTAACTTTGCATTTAAGCAAGTATAAAAATTATTAATTATGTAAATGACTTTATATAGGTATTATCTGAAAGAGAATAACATGTTCTAACATCTGTCAAAATTGGAATGTTTATTCATTTCTCTTTCTTGAGAAGCCTCCAGTTATTTCGTAAGTGTCCCATTTTTTACCGTTCACCCTAATATATACCCCTCTAGCGTATTTTTTTTCTCTGTTAGAAATTAAGAAAAAGGAAATTTTCGTGCAATTGCCGAAATAATGCTGTGCCCTCCCCACATAGGTAGTTGTCTACTACAAACCTGTAGAAGTACAAACGTAAATTCTCAGCTCTCTACAATCTTTAGTTCTCGTGAAAGAATTTTAGCTTGGATCACCTAACTGGGGAAAGCTATAATCGGTATTTCTCGAGAACTAAAGCTTGTAGAAGGGCGAAAATCTAAGTCTGTACTTCTACAGGCTTGTGGTATACAACTACCTATGTAAGGAGGGCACAGCATCACTTTGGCGAGCGCACGAAAATTTCCGTTTGCTTGGTTCCTACAGAGGGAAAAATACGGCAAAGGCGTATATTGATGTTTTATGTTGATAGTGTTTACGTGAGCAAACAAGGATTTTTGTAGGATTTTTATGAACTGATTTACGATTTTTTTCGATTTATCGGGTTGCTGAGTTTTATTAGTTTCTGGCTCGAAACTCGAGGTGGATGAGAGCTGCTGCAAAAGCAAAATGGTCATCTCGTAAAGCTTGCTTTGCTCTATCGAATGATACTTTGTAAGCTATTCAAGAATGAAAAGCGTATGAATTATTGCAATTGGAAACCAAAACGGACACTAATTTCCGGACAACCTAATAATTCGGATCGTTTTGTGCCTGGTTTAGGTTGTAAACGGCTTCGTTTCTGCCTTATCTGTATATATAGGGTGTCTCGAAAAAAGTGCACCCTGTTTGATCGTTAATCATTTCTTAGCTTTTGATTTAGCCGACCCTCAGGTGCCATCCTGTACAGCGAAGTTCAACTTAGATTTACGGTATGGAGCGGAACGATTGCTCTCCATTACTGGCAAGAACTTGGACGAGGATCTCAGGCCACTGGAGGCCATATTCTGTTTCAAAATTTAAACAAGCTAAAAATGTTCTATTACTTTGTAATGGAAGCCGCTGATTTTGAATATGTTACTTCCACGTTACTATCATGCTTCCTAAGTGACGCCCGATAAACCGTAGTAACTGAATTCTCAGCACTTGTCAGAAATCGACTACTCGTCAAAAAACCGGAAACAGTCACAAAACCTGTCTAGTGGAATCAGCCTACGCGAAAACCCTAGTCACAATTTTTCGAATTTTTTGAAAAAAATGTCTTAAAAGTATGTTTCACAGTGGTTCCATATGCTGGAAATTCTCACCGTACAGTAACGAAGAGCGATCTGCAATTCGCTCCACATTGTAAATCTAAGTTGAACCTCGCTCTAAAGAATGATACCTAAAGTGGCGATAGACATCAAACCAGGAAAGCTACTATCGATCAAATACTGTGCACATTTTTTGGATACCCTGTATAAACTCAGTCTGTAAGGATGTTCGCGTGGTTGTTCGTTCGTTACAAAAACGCCAGCTGTTGAACCGATCGAGCTGAATTCCACAAGTATGTGTTCGACCCCGGCTGTGGTCTAAAGCTACTTTTCACCGCAATTCATTCGGCCTCGGTTTATTGATTCTTAACCGTTTGCAAAGAAATGCAATGCTTATCAAGCAAGCGACTCATTTGCATTTAAAATAACAAAGTAGATCTCATTTTTATTTTCTGCCAACGGAAGTTAGGTAAGGAGAAGCTTGCTAAAGTAAGTTTCGTCCTATATGGCTGTGGTGCGAGTAGAATCATTTGATGTACGTTACTGTTTATTTTTCATTCGTCAGAGCAGAGCAAAGGTGTAGCCCAATCTTAAGCATCAATTTCTTACTGAAATCTTGTGCTTTAATTTTGCGATCATTTCGTGGTTTTTGTCCCGTACTTACTAATAAAAAACCAGCAGGCGTTGATCGAGGAAAGTTTATCAAGCAATAATAAATTCGATGATTAAATTTGATCATTCGATCACGTGTATTGGCGGCGAGCGGTCGTGTTCCTATTGCTCTCTATCATGGTGTCCCAGCGTCGAACTGCTTCAAAGAAAGTCAAGGAAAATGGGATTGCAACATCTAATGTGGATTCGGCCGCCTCCTCCTCTGCTATTCTGAATGAGTCGGTGCCTCAGGGCGAAGATGAAGGTAAGTTGATATCTCAACTTCATTCTATCTTATCGGGCAAGGCTCCGGAGGCCTTGCCGCTGCTGGATCGATTGATCCATTTGATCAGGCCGGCCCCTGGTGATCTCATCGAACAGGACAAGAGATCTCGGGCCATTGTAATTTCAGGAGTGCCTGAATTGAACGATGCACTTGCGTCTCAACGTCAGGCACACACTGAAAGCTCAGTGATGTCCATTTTGGATAAATTGGACATCGAAACAAGACCCCTAGAGATCTACAGAATGGGGCGACCGGGGGAAAATAGACCGCGCCTGATCAAGTGTGTCTTTCCTTCGCAGCAGTTTTACTTCAGTGCCCTCAAAAAAGCGCCGTTGCTGCGGAGCTTGCCCGGCTGTGATCACATTTACATCCGGAGGTCTATGACCCGCGAGGAGCGTGATCACGACCGGGCTCTTCGTCAGCAAGCGAGGGAATTAAATAGCAAAGAGCACGGTGGCGGCAAAGTTTACGTCGTTTATAAAGGACAAGTTGTGAAGGCCTCAGATATTCCTAGCATTAAAGCAAGTGTACAAAAAAACTGATCGCGTGCTCTGATTCTTCCACGGTCTCTTGTCTTGTATTGAATGCTAGAAGTTTAATGAACAAGCTAGTTGAATTCCATCATCTTCTCCATACTCAGAAACCAGCACTTGTTTTTGTTACTGAATCATGGTTTAGTAGTTCGATCACTAATGCCGAGATTTTGAGTGACCTTCCTTATGACATTCTGCGTAATGATCGTAAAAATAGAAGGGGCGGAGGAGTATGTATATTGATCCGATATGATCTCGTTTTTCGTAGTGTCGAGCAAAGCCATTCGATACCAACAAACATACTCGCTTTTGATCTGATCAATGGCGCCGCTAATTATATCAGATTTGTACTCCTATACCGGCCGCCTAGTCAAACCTCTGTTTATGATGAAGAACTTATCGACATTCTAGAACATTTAGCTACTTCTGCTAGAAACATCATATTTCTTGGTGATTTCAATTTAAATGATGTTGACTGGACGGAAAGCAATGCAATTTCATCCTCCTCCTCCCGCTTCGTGTCGTTTTTTGAATGTCTGGGGCTTCCACAACTTGTCAAAATTCCCACCAGAGGGATTTCGATTCTCGATCTGATATTTGCTAAAAGTGATACTGTCTTCAAAGTTCAGATGTATCCCCCATTAGCAAGCGCAGATCATAATATAGTATCTTTTCATATAGCTTTATCTTCTGGTCATGACGATATGTCTGAGCATTCATCTGTACGTGACTACTCTAAAATGGACAAGAACTTGATTAAAAATGCATTGTCAAGTATTGATTGGTTTAGTGTGTTCGATGGATACTCCGACATTGATGATCTTTACGATCGCTTTTGCAACATAGTTCGTGATTTGGTTGAACGATATGTCCCTTTCAAGCAAAGAAAACCCCCTTTTTCGCAATATCCGCGGCATATAAAGAATCTATGGATGCAGAGATTGAGACTGTTTTTGAACCTTCATAGTCCCATAAACGATATAGAGTACAAGGCTGTTTCTAAAGAGCTTTCGTATCATTTGAAGAGATACTTAAAACAAAAGGAAAAGAGATTGGCCAAAAAAGCTGGTAAACGTGACCTTTGCTATTTAAAGAAACATTTGAAAGAAAACAAATGTTTTGGTCCTTTACAAGACTCTAATGGCAATGTTTACCATACTCCTGTCTCCAAGGCGGAAGCGTTGGCAGATCAGTTCTCTTTCGTGTTTTCTGAACCTTCCGCTTCTTGCCCTATACTTATAAACAGGTCCTCGGATTGTTGCCCCCTCCCAAAAATAGACCCTCAAGTCATACGAAAACTTCTGAAAAGAGTAAGTCCAACCTTTTCCATTACCTCTGACAATATACCACCCATATTTTATAAGTTGTTTGCAGATGAACTAGCACTTCCCTTATCTCACATATTTAATATATCTCTGATGAACGCAGAAGTCCCTCAACTTTGGAAATCAGCCATTATCACCCCTCTCCCCAAGACATCTCTCAATCCCAAGCTCTCCGACTATAGACCAATAAGTATTCTCCCGACACCTTGCAAAATTTTGGAAAAATTATTGGTTGAAAATCTGTTGCGTTGGTTTAATAAAATGCAATGCCTTCCTAAGCAACAGCACGGATTTTTACAAGGCCGAATACGAACGCTTGGTCTGAAAACTCTTTTCTATAGAAGGTTTATGGCAGATGTTTTTATGGCTTTCAAGGTTCTGCGAGGTGAGGTGAGTCTGAAACCCAGTAAATACTGGGTTTTCCAACCTGTTAGTGAACGCAGACCTTCTTTTAACTTGTTTGTTTCTAGGTTTGGAAGGTGCAATATCTCCCTGCAACGCAACAACTTCTTTTACCGGGCAGCTTCGATCTTGAATAAGCTTCCACCCCAGTTCTTGGCTTTGACTTCTTCGATTCAGTTGAAAACAGCCTTGAAAAAAGTAGATGTTCTGCAATTAATGGGAGTTGATGATGTAAAGTAACTTGTTTTCTGACATCCAACTCATCCTTTCTTTGGCATGGTCAGCTGCTTATTAACGTAGCAACGCCTCTCTTCTTAGCTTGCATGTATATTCGGCTTGGATTGGTCTGGTAATTTTGGTGGCTCTCAAAATTCTACTGTTTCATTTTCTGGGGTTAAACCAGCTAGCCTCCGCCCGTAGGCTCGCTGGTCCATGTAGGTGGGACTTCAATTTTGAGAGACATCAACATACCTTCGATAGTCTAGAGACAGGGCGTTAAAAGTGAAGGTTGTTTGAACATCTGACGTCATAAATAGTGAAGGTTGTCCAAAGAAGATCAGAGATGAGAAAATGACGTAAAACGGATATAAAAAGCAAAAGAAACGGCTGAAAACCGGATAAAAACACTGCAAAAAGGTTTGAAATCTTTCAATTGGCGGCTTTTCAAGGTGCAAGTTTTCGCTCCAGGACCAGCAATTCGCAACACGGGGTTTTGATTTTTGATGCGTCCTTTAAATTTTTACCCCCGCATTGACGTTCCTTTTTCCTGGGACGTTGTCTGAATTGTTGCGCTTATTGTTCTGAGCAACAATCGCCCAAGCTGGAAAAAAATCGCTGCGAAAGCATTGAAAAAGAACAAGGTAAAGGAAAACGCACTTTTTACGATTTTTCGCAAAAAATTCTACCATAATCGAAGAAGTAAGGGCTGGGTGGTTGTCTGCATTATAAGCAGAAGCAAGATCTATAGAATGCACGAAAAAACCGCGTGAAAAGAGTTAAACTAGAAGAAAAACAAGAGATTTTCAAAAACAAGGTTTTTGCCGGATTTCTCGATCAAAGCAAAGAATATGGTTCTGGGACGTTGTCGGCGTAAAAATAGAGATCAAGAGCTTCAAAATGATATATAGCTTACTAGAATTGGGTTCGAAACAGCGAAGAAAAGTGTACCAGAGCCAAATGCCCCGCGCCCCGCGTTTGGGGTAGCGAGGTAGCGCGCAGCGCGCAGAGACGCAGACGAGCAGCAGAGACAGACCAGAGCCGACGGGGCATTTGGCTCTGGTCGTAGCTCTCTGCGGGGTCTCAACGAATCCTGCAACATTATATATCATTCTGATCGTCATGACACGGCGAGGAGAATTGACAACGTCCCAAGCTTTGAAAGCCACTCATTAGCGAGATAGACCAGCGTTCTCATGCGCGACCCTCTGCGAAAAATTTAAGCGCAGTTTTTCTTCTAATGTAACTCCAACAGCTTTCCTAAACTTCTGATACTCAATTTTGGTCAAATGAGAGGTTAACAGAAAAATTTCGTCTTAAATTCTGGCGAAAATTCCACAGAAACCTTCCTTTCAACGTAAAAAAGGCCATAAAACGCAAATTCTCGGTTTCGCTGAGATAAACTAACGATATTATTCCCTATATTTGCTTCATTAGCATTCGTTCCGAAATAGTCAGGATGATAACATCCGGGTCTTCACCCCGGATGACTTCTGTTTTGTTCCAGGTGAAGGTTGTGTCCCCTCATAGCCCTCAAAGTGAAGGTTACCAGAGTACGTGGCTCTATGTATCGAGGGTATGGACATCAAGATTTACAGGCAAGTATCGTCATACTAGTTACATTCAGAATAGCTACAATTTGTTAGCTTATCAAAGAAGAACTATAAGTTGAATTTAGATGTACTAGAACCAAGTGTACCTTTTCTATTGGAGGGTTCTATACTAGGTGCAATTTTCCACATGCCAAAGACTGGTAGTTAGCTGTTCATATGTTATTCACTAACCAATCTACGTTGATGGATTAGTGTTTGGTACTAACCGCTCCTATGATGATTTAGAGAGCACTTTCAGGTGCATTGAAATAAAATAAAATAAAAAAAATAAAAAAATTTGAGAAAGGAAGACAAGGATTATGCTTTTGAAGAGCGACGAAGTGGTAAATTTAGTCTTAGTCTTTGAGAAAAGCCTTGATTAAATGTTAAAACGCGTTAACCTATATTCTGTAGTTATCCATACGCCATTATCGAAACAACTTTAAAAAGACGACTATTGAGTCGCTTGAGGGAGAAAAAAACTCTTTTGAGTTTTTTTGAAGTACCGCATAGTGAGAACACACTCGAAAAATGAACTGTGAAGAATGTCAGTGTGATAGCCGCTATATGTCGAGAACCTTTTAAGATGAAACCGGTTTTCGCTACCGCAGTTTTTCGAAATTTCTACGAAAGAAACTTGCATTGAAAATTCAATCTAGAAAGTCCAAAGATTAGTCAAAGTTGACTAAATGAAGTATGTTCCTTACCGAAGTTTGCTAGGTGTGAGAAAAAAAGCCGAGCGTAGCCGGGTAAGCCATAGTAACTCCATAAAATTTTCAAATTTCAGTATCAGAAATATGCTTGATTTTATTTTCAATAATAAGCCAGTTTGTGCCATTTTGTAGTGCCCTTGATTTCCGCACATTCCATTGATTTATCAAATGTGCTCAAAATACAGGTTTTGTGTGTTACTTTATGCCACTAATAGTCTCGGAATGATATCAAGGATCGCTGAGCTACCCGAAGAGTAGCTGGAATTGGACAAACAAAGTTCAAAAAACTTTTTACTGTGGACATCACATTGTAAAAGGTGATGTTTATTAGCATTGAAAAAACATTGGCAAACATCTAAGTTCTGGGGCTCGTTTCCGCCAAAGATATAAAATTTTGGGAAATGAAACGAACGCTTTAGATACGAATTCTCAAAAGGACAGATTGAGAGGATACAAAACAATTAAATGCTTCATCCTTGGAACTCTGAAAGATTGTATAAGCGGGAAATGCAACGGAACAATAATCTGCGACATTGTTGACTGCAAGAAAATACTTTTCAGCGCCAACCGAGACTTCACTTTTAGAAATTTCAGTGCGATCGGTCGGTCAATGGCTCAAATGCGCCAAAGAAAAAAGTATGTTTCAAACACAAGTAGATCTTTAGTGCCAAAAGCAACACATCATTGCTTTTGAAAAAAAAGAGGGGACAAAGACAAAAACATTGAAGCTGCTGAAAAATCAATGAAGCCAGCAAGCAAATGTTTATGAGAAATTAATTATTGTAACCATTCACCCACTGTAAGCAAGAAGGCTATAAATAAACACTACTACAAACGGTTGAACATTATGTTTTTCCTTTCAAAATCAGCAGTCAAGTAATCTTTTTGGAGCAAGTTTCACGAAATTGCTATTTACTGGCCACCCAAGTAGTCCACCTCAATCGGGATCATGCCGAAGCGTTGGCTGAATTGCGCGCTGGCAACGATAGAGATTTGCGCTGCACACACGAGCTGTCGTAGAGAGCGAATAAATTAAGTAGTGGCTGGGGTGGGAACAAGGCAGACTTTGAAATGGTTGATTTCAAACATGCTTGAAGGCACCATCTACTCTAACTGAGGGTATTTGAGATTCTGATGCGACATAATGAAAGGGCCCCTTATTAAATGCCTTCGCCGAAGTCTTGCTGCAAAGATAAACTCCAAAGCGATCAGCGCATCAGCGGTGTGGCCTGGAAATGAAAATCCCAAAATTAGGTTACCATGTATCTAGAGTTGCCGTAAATTTCTCTTTCATTATGATTATCATTCGACATTTCTGTTTACCCTAAATCGATTTTTAGCTTTTTACCTTCAGAACCCACGTTGATGGGCGGAGCCACTTCGACCGTTCCTACCTTTATGAAGCGCGATGCTTGGTTAAGGTCCCTCTATTATAGGACATTATTCTAAACTGGTCCAATTCTTTCTCCTGCTCTCGCGAATCGCGCTCATGCTCCCTTTTTTGTGCTCCTCCTAATGTAGACCCCTTAAAACTCAAAAAATTTCGGAAATCGGGCTTGAAAAAGGACTGAGCAAAAGAAGATTGAATAATCGAGGGATTAGTAAAAGTGGTCCTCGATAATTCAATCTTTACAAGGCGTGGCCTATCAGGCGCAGCACTACTAACTGTTCGAAAGGCCTTTACATATTTGCGCCATATATCTAAAGTGTTCACAACTTCACAAACATTTTTCCCGTGCCATTTTGGCGCTCTAATGCTAGAGGAGCAGGCTGGCTATTCCATCCAAGCGCAAGTAAACGCGCAATAACTATGCTTCTCTGGCGGGCATCTCTTTCAATCATCTTTCCTTTTCCTAACTCACCCAAACGCAGCAAAATCTCGTTAGTAACCTCACTGACCTCAGGAATGTTGAGGTCCAGCAACTTTCAAAAGTTGGAGATCCGACGTAGTACCGGGATCACTTTGAGTTGCTCTGAGAGAGTGAGCTACCGTTGCGACGCCAGAGGATCACTCACGCGCTGACCCAGAAAAGCCGCCTGCTCAGATGCTCCATTTTTGCGTTGTGGCAGTGGTCTTGTAATCTTTGAAGGCAGGCTTGGGGTTGAATAGAATAGACCTCATCGTTAGATTAGATTTTCCAACTCCACTCCTTAGGTATTTCCACCGAACCTCGCTCGATTGCGATATCGAGCAAGGTTCGGTGGAACTTCCTAACAATAAGGAGTGGAATTGGAAAATTGAAGAGTGACTCACAGCTTGGATTTCAAGCCTGTCATTAAACCTACCAGGAGTCGCTAGATTGAAAAAAAATGAAAAAGTGGTAAAAGATCAGCATTTTCGAAAAGAAACTTACTATGATGGGAAGAGCATTTGAGATACTGACCGCTCACGGCAGGCGCACGTGCAACAATCATTTGGCTGGAGGGTGCCAGTAGGCTCGAAGGTAATTATTTTTTCTTTTTTGCACTTATTACAAAGTACTATCCCTTGTTGTCCCTTATCAGGAATTCTACTTCAAACAACGTTAAAGCTTCGTAGAAGCTCAGCCCAAAGCTCGTTTATCCCATTTTTTGTTCAAATGGTTACTTAGCGGCATGAAGACAAATCAAGTTCAAAACGGTTTTTGAAAATAACGATATTCATGCTGTCATACCATTTATGAGTCAACGAAGTTAATTTGCGACAAAAATGGGTGTGGCAAAACCTCAAAAAGGATGTGGCAGTCGCGCTTTCAACGGAGTTGTTCTACACCCCATTTTTGTTATCCCATAGCAAAATATGGTATGCAAGTATGTGACAATATGTACTCTTGTAGACTAGATCTCGTAGTTACCATACAAGTGATTTGAGCACAATTCTTCTTTATTGGTCTAAGTAAGGGAACATGGTCACACAACACGAGGAGAACGAGGTCTCGACTGAACTTTTTCGTACGAGTGCAAAAAAGGTAGCTGGTTCTTTTCAAAATTGACTAAAAGTTGACTTTCTTTGAAAATAATTATCTTGACTAAGTAACCCAATGTTTAGAAACTTCAGAAACTTCGTAAATTATATTCCACGGGCTATTCTTTGTGCCTATGGTGGATATACGGTACGTGGTCAATATTCACTTGGATTTTGCATAACAGGGTTATTTGGCATGCTGTCAACAATATTACATTTTCATTTGCAACAATGTCATTTTAGTTACGACTCCCTCTCCTCTGTGACCTCTCAGTACAACCCAAGATGTGGCATGCCACACCCCACCTCAACCTTGCTCTTAACGGGGGGGGGGGGGTATTTTTAGTTAATCAGATGAAGAGAGACAAGCAATGTTTTAGGGATTGTGGGTATCGCTGAATAGGCATACATACCCCCAGGACACCGACAAAATACCCAGGGCTCGGCACGAGGTGGCTAGATGAAAATGGAAAAAAACGAAGTCGCCCTTGACTTTTGGGAATTTTTACGAAGTCCCCTTTGACCCTCAACCAAATTTCCTCTAAAAACCTGAAAAATTCCCCAAAATCCCCCAAAAAACGAAACGTCGACTAAAAAAATAAAGGTCGCCGTCGCCAATTTTCCGTGTCTCTTCGGTCACAAAAACGAAACCCCCTTTGCTTTTCGTCCCAAAAACGATATCCGGCTTGCTTGTAAGCCACCTCGTGCCGAGCCCTGAAAATACCACAAAACATGCAGATTATTCGTTTTTTTCCAAACATCTGTTAATTCTTTTTTTTTGAATTTTTTTTTGTTACCTGATGTGAAGGTTTTGACATATTTCGGAATTCGTCTATTGAGCTATACACTGAGCTATTTTTCTTATTTATTTGAATAGCGTTTGCATTGAATAGAAAGAATTGTTGCATATGATGTAGTGCTTGTATCTTCAGAGATTTCATCTAACAACAAGCGTAGCATCATCAAAACATCAGGAATGGTTTAAATTTGGGTAGACGAAGAATGCTACCAAATAGATCGTTCAAGTCTGGTTCAAGCAAACGATGGGGCTTTCTATATCGTATGGATTTATACGGATTTGCAACTTTAGGCCTTCTACTTCTTTTTGCCCGAATCCATGTTTTGATCATCTTCTTGTAGTACATGATGTCAGTGCAGATCTAAAATCATGAAAGCAGTGAACGTAATAAAAAAGGTTGTCCTAATTTTTCAAACTTCTATTGTCTGACACTGGAATAATGTTCAAAACTTTGCTTGCCTGTGGATGAAAACGACCTTTAACATTTCGAGCAACCATATCACAAGGAGGTCCCATAATAGCAACCCCCATCAAGTAATTTCTTCCACGAATCGTTGCTGTTACTCCTCCGCCGCTGTCGCCCTGAGGTAAGTGAAAAGACAACTATATGGTGAATTGACTACAAATGACGCAAGAATGGAATAAAAGAGCAAACATAGTACGTGCCATGCAGCGTAGATTTACATAATACCAGATTCACCCAAGTCGCAATTCACGTTAAGTTTGGAGCCAAAAGCTAAAACTTTTCAAATGCTTTGAAAATCATATCTCCTTTCAGAAAGTTTTGTGGACTCCAACTTGACCTTCATTTGCTCGGAGCGAAGTGCCTACTACTAGACCACTAGGCTACGGCGCTACCATTATTGAGTTGCTGTTATGGCTTATTGGATCCCCGTTATCAAGATGAACAAGAGCTCACATGTCAAGACACGTGGAAAGGCATTAGGCTTGCCTGTGAGGTGCCTGGCCATAAAGTATCTTGAAGAATCTCGAACATGGACATAGACCATAATCCAACAACCCGTCCCTCTCCTTTCTCCTTTTATTTTAATATCCTATTATGCCTGATAAAGTCCAAAAGTTTCTGTTAGTATGCAGATTTTTTCGAGCGACCTATATCTATAATCTGTAATCCTAACTTTGACCATAATTCTAGGAGAACAGACTTCAAATATTAGGTTTTAAAAAAGTTCCCGGGCACTTGCGAAATTTTTTTCTCAAATTGCTGTAAATTTAAGCAGATTGATTCTTCTATAAAGCTACAAGCTTTATCGCAAAAACAATTTTGTCTACAACATATATATGTCTTGCTGGCTTTTCAGCGCTTCGCTGCGGTCCACCAGCATGCGCAGAAGCGAAAAAGGTCAACGCGAAAAGTGGCCTACAGAATTATTTTAGGCACGATGAGAGCTGAAGAGCTGTAGTTATATAGAAGCTTGCTGGGGCTGTTATGGAGACTACTTGCGCTTTTGAGCGAGAACCTGCAAAAAAAGATTTTCAAGAAATTCTAAAAAATCGACCATTTTTTGTCCTCAAAATTGCACCATTTTTCAAGTATGTGGCTTTGAAGTCTTCTCGTTCTGCATAGGGTGGACCAAATTTTTGACCAAGCATTGTTGGGGTAATGTCTTACACATCTTTTGGACCCATCATTCAGGCGTGGCAATCGTCAGAAAATGAAATTTCCAAAAGTGCCTGGGAACTTTCTTTGAAACCTAATAATGAACAATGTCTAGAGGCCATTTGAAGATCAAAGTTAGAATTTTAAATGACCTCTGAATAATATAACAAATTTCGAATTATTCTTTGAGGTTTTTATCAACCAAAAATTTTTAAAGTGAAAACTGAAGACTCCCTGTTATCATTGCTTCTTTGCTAAAAGAGTTCAACAGAACCTGAGATATTCGCTATTATTCCGTATATGCCCACTGTAATAATCCTCATTGAAAACGACCAGCATGCGTGGTTGCATTGCCAAATGAGCCGCAAAAATTTGGCCAATTCAGTCAGCTTAGTCTACTACACACCTACTATGACTCTATCCGATAGTCTTGCAGTGAAAAGGAAACGGTGCGAATCTAAAAGCTAAAGTTTGAGAATTTTGCTTTTTGTTTTTTACTTGAGGAAAAAATATAGCAACGGTATAATAAATGTTTCATATAAAAGGTGTTCAAATGCGCAGATCAAATTTGGTAGGGTAGGGTGTCTGTTTCAGTAAGAGTTAGATTTTTTCATTTTCGGTCAGTTGAATCTCTCTTCTGTCGAATAGTAGTTTGGAACCTGCTTATAAGTAAGGAGTGTGTGACTCGTTGGGTTGGAAGTTAAAATGAACGGAACTTATGGGACAACCTTCGAACAAATGCTGCGAAGATTGCCTCAGCCATTCCGACCCAACCTGCGCAGCAAATCCGCTGAAGGAGGAATAATGTTTCAAAATCACCGCCTGCATAAAAGCAGCTAGCTCCTAAGGAAAATGAAAGCAGTATTCACGTTCAATTTAGAGCATGGCACGTCAGGAAAAAACCGATTAGTTTGCAGTAACAATCACTTTGAAGTTCGGGGATAAGTGGCAAAGAGTCATAAAAAGCTAACTTTGCAAAATTCCTGCTGACCGGACTTGACGCAAAATGTATCTTTTGCTTTGAAAGTATTCGTTTTCTTGCACAGTAACTCCGGTAGTTTTGCACCTTTATCAAATATCTTTTTCGGTTGGTACGATGAACAAATCCGACATTCTCACCTATTTCCGTTATTTGCAAGTAAGGTGAAAGATTGTTGTTATGGTTGAATGCTGAAATAATGATACTGATAAGATTTCTGTTTTCTCAAACGGCTCACACGATCTCTTCCCCATCCAAATACTCTTAGCTTCAGGTAAGGGTCTTCTATTTCCTCTACTTTGTGCATAAAAGGTAGGCAAACATGATTTATTGTTTTTGGCACATCCTCAGCCAGTTCAAGGATCGCTATGTCGTGAGTGCCTCTGCAGCCAAATTTGAAATAATCCTCGTAAAATGCGCTATAATGAGATATTTGCATGAAAATGATTGTGAGCGCAGTGAACTAGACGTACCGGGCAATTTTGTAGACTCTACCAATATCTGACCTAGTACAACCAAATCTGCCTGCCAAACTGCAAGTTCCACCGATGGAAACTTCCGTATTGTGTATCACAAATTCCGGTGAGAACATGTCTGAGGTGCTACAAGAAAAATGCAAAAAAATGATTAGGGTCACGATTCTGATCTACCTGCAGTAATCTTCGCTCTCCGTTGCCCGGAAACAATGAGCTGCAGTGATAACATGCCGTCTTGAAATCAGCGTTCCGCCGCATGCCCCTGCATGCAAAATTGTGCGTCCATTTGTTTTAATCAAATTTAAAAAAGTAGTTTCAAATTAATCATATCATATGACTTCATCCTGTCAACCTTAATTTTTTGCAATGATTTCACGTGCGCGCACGATTAAAAAGTATTCGACTGCGTATGCAGTGCGCTCATCTGATTCAAAGGTACTATAGCTCTTAAATATTGTAAGCATATGTTTAAAGCGCGTTATGTTATCGATTGATAGGTCTATGTGGACATCCATCAAACTCCATTAAAAGCCTTACGCATTACGCATGCTCGCAATCCGCATGAACGCAAGCTATCGACGCATATCTTCAACATGAGCACCGTACTCAACAACAACTTCAACGTAAAGCTTGCCAGAGTGAATTGACAGACAAGCCAAATGTCGAGTAGCACCTACGTACTTTCTTAACGCATGCACGACAATGCAACCCAGGGTTCATACATATCCTTCCATGACGGATAATACAGCTCACCCACCGATGGTTCCTATGTTTTCTGAAGTTTCAATTTGCAAGTTTACGACGAAACTTTCCGGTGCACTAAATAGACTTTTGAGTCATCTTGAAGTACCCCAGAAAAACTTCCCGAGCACTTCAGACCATGAGAGTCATCAGTGGCCGAGAAATATTACGCAAGTCAATACTGCAAAAAATGCTCTGGTCCGAAATGGCAGCCGTCGAAAAATGCTGTTGTGAATGTGTTGAAACATAAGAACGTCTCACCTTTTGAAAACTTTTTTGAAACGTAAAAGCGACTCACCCATATGATACTTATCTTTCCAAATGTGAAGCAATACTGCCCATGGAAGTTCACCTCTTTCAGCTCGTTTACCTCCCATTATCTGTATGAATTACAACAAATGAAAAAGAAATCGTGCTTAGTAAAAAAAAGGAAGCGTAAAGAGTGGTGAGCTTGGGGATGGAGAAGACGAAAAAGGGCAGAAAAGAAAAAACTGGAAGGATAACAGAAGAAGAGATTATGCGCCTCAGTAACGCCGTACGAGCCGGCTAGGCTTATATTTTAGGCAAAGGGCTGTTCAAGAGTTTTTTTTTGAGTTGTCGCAATGAGTGTTTACAAAAATTGCATAGCACATACTCAATGGAGCGAAAAGATTGAAAAAGTAGCTAGACATTCCTTGATAAAGTGAGTCAAGTAAACTTTGATGCCGAATTATAAGGCTCCCGCCAGAGTGCCGAAGTTATGCCAGCGCTACGCCAGCATTTCGATCGATACACGTGTATTTCGTTGGGGACATCTACCTGCTGAGCTAGCCCCGCCCCAACGAAATACACGTGTATCGATCGAAATGCTGGCGTAGCGCTGGCATAACTTCGGCACTCTGGCGGAAGCCTAAGGTAAAACACGTCATGTTGCTCAAGAGTGGATTTTCGAGCGGACGTTTGCAGCAACCACGCACTTCTGCACATTACGAAGTCGCGCCAATTGTTTGCACGGATAGCTATCAGTGACATATAGACGTCTACTCAAAAATCGTAAGCAATCACAAGCGCAAAAACCAGACCTTTACTTTGGAATTTTTGAAAATTCTCCACCTCGTCATCGTCGTCGTAGTGGTGATGTTATTTCGCCTCCAAAGCTCAGGAGTTTGTCCAAAGATTAAAAACCTTGCCTTTTCAACTTTTCAACTTTTACATGCTAGGAATGATTTTTGTCGGAAGCTAAAGTATCAGATATGTAAAGTCATTGTTTCGCCTACGTTTTAGCATACAAAGGCCAAAGGCAAACTCAAACTTACCAGAAACGGCGAAGCTGGTTTTCTCCACTCTTTTCCCGTTATTCGAATGGAAAAAAGTTGCGAGTCTACACGTAAATCTTTCTATCTGTCCTCTATGAAAAAAAGTGAAGGTTTGCGAGGTGAAGACTTGAATTTTAGACCATCCATTATACAGGGGTCCCCAAAAATGTGCTTACTGTTTGATTGTTAATAACACTTGTCATATAGTCTTCGGAAAAGTGTTAGGTACCGTTTTGTAGAGTTGCTTCTAGCTTAGGGGTATACTTTACAGAGGGCTTTGAGCCATGGAGGGCCATGTTTTGGCCCAGAAAGGAAACAAAACTATTAAGTTGAACCGAAAGTTCTGTCGCACCATTTTCAAAAAATCATAACTTCTTTCCCTCACAAAATTTTCGCACAATCCAAATATTATCGGAAAGTGTGAAGCATGTAGTTTGTAATAGCCCCCTGGTGACTGTCCAACACGCTCAGGTTGCAGAGATAAAAATGAAAGAACGAGCATTCGAAATTCGGAATTTTTAAGCAAGAATTCTAGAAATTCAGAAACAGTGCGATAAAATCCAGAAAAGCCATTATCCTAATTGTTCTTACATTTGATTACTATCTAAGTCAAGTTTGTGCTGATCGAAGTTTTCTTCCAGAAGTTATGAATTTTTGAAAAAAATGCCGAAAAATCCATTTCTTAAGAATTCTTGAGAAATTGATTTTTCGGCATTATTTTTCAAATAACCATAACTTTTGAAAGAAGGGCTCGATCAGCACAAACTTGACTGAGATAGTAATCAAATGTAAGAAAAATTAGGATAATGGCTTTTCTGGATTTTATCGCACTGTTTCTGAATTTCTAGAATTCTTGCTTAAAAATTCCGAATTTCGGATGATCTCTTTCTTTCATTTCTATCTCTGCCACCTGAACATGTCGGAAACTACCCAGGAAGCTTTTGGAAACCACGAGCTTTTCGCTTTCAGATAAAATTTGAATTGCGCAAAATCGTCGTGGCCGAAAGAAGTTATGATTCTTTGAAAATGGTGCGACGGAACTTTCGGTTCAACCTAATACTTGAGTACTCTCACACTAGGAATTAAAGTTGCTTGTTTCAAATAAAAAATTTGCATTTCATCATATTGATTAGTTTGGAAGTTATGCCGGGTAATCTGTAGCAGCTTTCGATATTGCTGAAACTCTTATCAAAGCGTTCAAAAGCTTCGCAATTTTTTACAAAGTTGAGTATTGAACTCGGCGTCCATGAAAAACCTATTACTCAAAATTTATTCGAAATGGCAGCTCTTTTGGAGTGACGTTATATTTAGGAAGTTCCCACCGCAATCTTACAGTGGTGAAGAGCGATGGGTTACTCGCTCTATACTCGCTCTATACCAGCTTTAAAAAATGGCACCGAAAATTTCTCAAAAAACTTCGTGACAAGTTCATGAGATTTATCGACACTCAAACAGTAAGAACATTTTTTGGGACGCCCTATATATGCTAAAAAATTTCGTGCGCAAACAATGTTAGTGACACATACAATACCGCTCACATTTTTTGAAAAATAAAGTGCGGTTCATAATTATACCAACACCTTATATTTTGAAAGTTTTTGAACTTTTTGGAGGAAACTCAGAAAGCCGTTTGTACCATGCGATAGAGCACAGCCGAAAATGGTATATGATCCATAAGAATGGAAATCGATGTCAATCTTAGGAGTGTTTTTGCGCCTAATGCGAATTTTCAGCGGTTCATAATTATACGAACACCTCAAACAAAGGTCCATTTTTCATTCGCGAGTGCAATCTTTCGAGTCCAAATTTTTTGTAGAGTTACAGTAACAAAGTCTCAAACATCCGCTACACACTGAACCCAGTGCAGTTCAAAAAGAGGATCTTTACTTTTTTCAGATGGCTCTAAATGCTTTTGGAGTGATTGCGCTCCAAAAACATCAATTCTTCTGTAATTCACGCACTCTAATTAGCTTCTACCAAGGTTATGAGATTAAATAAGCTCCTTCGATAGGTATTTTGTTTAACGCTTGGAAAATCTTTGCGTTTCCGTGCCGTTTTTTAACCAAGTTCCAAACTTACCCTAGTGTTAGCACGTTTTCAAGCCTCTAAACTCAGCTTCTGAAGCCCTACAATGAAGTATACTATAAGTATGCTTATAGTATGTAGAAGTTAACAAGACAATGTAATTGGCTAGAAAAAATTAGCAGCATTGAGCGTTTGTTCCGGCCACGCAGACGTCATTTCACCAAAACCACTGTTTTTACTATTGCAGTCACACCTTTATTTGGTTTGTAGCTACATAGCCTCAAGATCAGTTCTACAAAAAACCCAAAACCTTTGACATGGATACATCATCATGCAAACAATGCAGCTGCTTCATATCAAGTGTTTGCGCGGGAGAAAAGCTGAGATTTGAGGCTCGAAATCGTGCTAACTTCAGGGTAAGGTTGGAACTTGGTTGAAAAGCGGCACGAAAACGCATAGATTTTCCAAGCGTCAAACAAAATACCTAACGAAGAAGCTTATTTTATCTCATAGCCTTGGTGGAAGCTAATTAAAGTACGTGAACTGCAGAAGAACAAATGTTTTTGGAGCGCAATCACTTCAAAAGCATTTAGAGCAATCCGAAAAAAGTAAAGATCCTCTTTTTGAACCGCACTGGGTTTAGTGTGTAGAAGATATGTCAGACTTTGTTACTGTAACTCTACAAAAAATTTGGACTCGAAAGATTGCAATCTTGAACGAAAAATGGGCCTTTGTTCGAGGTGTTCGTATAATTATGAACCGCTCAAAATTCGCATTAGGCGCAAAAACACTCCTAAGATTGACATCGATTTCTATTCTTATGGATCATATACCGTTTTCGGCTGTGCTCTATCGCGTGGTACCAACGGCTTTTTGAGTTTCTTCCAAAACGTCCAAAAATTTTCAAAATTTAAGGTGTTCGTGTAATTATGAACCGCACTTTAGACGCGAATGCATGGACATGTCCATACATCAGCGTCGCGTGGCCATATCCTTCAGAGTGGACGAATTCTGAATCCAAAGCCACCATTCGATTCAGCTCGGCGCGGAAAATTTTCTGATATTTTGGAAGTGGGGGTACGATGTTTTCGATATTCCGTTTCCAGTTTTTTCAATTTGTTCTGCGGAGGTCCTTTCGCGAATATCTGAAGCGACGCCTACCCAACATAGAAGACTTCACTAAGTGCTATTCGATAATACTGTTCTTGTAGATTATTGTGCGCTAAAAAGTGGGCTCAGACTTCTTTTCAAAGGAGATAGAAGCGTTGGTGAATTTTGGAAAAGTCACGCGTTTTTAAATTCTACTCGCCATAACTTCCTTCGGAACAAGTATATTTTTAATCCGAAAACAGCGCCTTGCTCAGCTCATCAAGGCGAACCTTCCTGTATACAGCATGTCCCTGATGTTTCGATTTCAGTGTTCTTGAATCTTTTTGAAGACGTCTTTTCGCGAAGGTGTAAAGCAGCGAGCATTGTCCCGAGTACATTCCAGCAAGGATATTTCGATAGCACTTTTTCTGTAGGTTATAATGTGCTAAGTAGTAGCCGCAGGTTTCTTTTTAAAGGAAGTAGACGGCGAGTGAATTGTGGAAAAATCTTGTCGTCCCAAATTCTACTCGCCATATCCGCAGGATACGAAGCTATCTTGCTAAGCAGATGTAAGTTTCGAAATCAGCAGGTCGCATAACCTCTACGAGCAAGTTTTCCGATGTGTTCGGGTTATTTCATTTTTTCTCGTTTTACGCTCCGGAAGCTCGCCGATGGATTTTGGTCAAAATGTTGATGCTCTTGAATTGTAGGGAAACTTCGCTTATAGAGGTTTTCGAACACGCTCTTTACGAAAATCGTGGTCTTTGAGGATTACAGGGTCTTTTTGGAGAGATACGGTAAGGTGACTGTAACTGCATCACGAAAGTGCGTAATTCTGGCCGCACTTCTCGCGTATCTGTCAGAAACCTTGCCTACTTGCTTTCTTCAGTCAAAGTTACTAGCAATTATGCTATCGAATGGTGCATTACTCAGGCTCCAGTCTGTGAAACTCGCCGAGTTACGAGCCTACGAAAACACGTTCTCATGAATTTTGCCCAAAATGTAAAGATCGCGTATCTCGTCGAATCTCCGTGAGCGCTTGTATGACGCTCGTTGCAGATATTATGTTCGCTTCGTCGAACGACTCCCACTGTACTGAATATGGTGCTTGTGTCTGCTTCAGTTGCTCAATTGAATATCAAAGCTATTTCGTGGCTAGAGCTCAAGCACCAAATCTAACACAATAAGATTCATCAAAGATTCCAGATACTTTACAATTTCAGAGCACGAGTGTTTTTAAACGCAAAATCAACACACTTGATCTTTTACGTTTGAGGCATTCTGAGAATGAGTAATGAATAGCACCAGTTGCTATTCATTACTCATCCTTTTTTTTATTTATTTTGTTTTCATTTATTCATTTTTTCTATTCACCATCTGTATTGCTATAGCTGGCCATGTGCGATTACATTATCCGACCACAAAATGCATACCAAATACAACCATCAATTTGTGTTTTTTCAATATTATTTTCTTTCAAATGTCTTGCTAACCCATATCTTGCTATTATGCTAGTTCAGTTTTAATCAATTTACTTCTCTTCCCAATCATTACAGCTTGTTGACTTGCTTTTAAATAAATTACAAAAAGTGAAACTATTTGATATTCTTTCGGAGTCATTGGACCCTCCCCGGAATCATTTGGGCAAGGTTGATTGGTATTACTGCACTAACCGAGCCCCGCTTTGCTTCATTATTGCAAGAGCATCTTCTGCTGGCAAATGAGTTTTGGATTGCCATTTCCATAGATTACAATAACCTAACGGGGACGAGTGGCGTAGTGGTATGAGGCGCCGCTATGACCAGATCGGACGCAGGTTCGATCCCTGCCCCTGGGCCAACCAAGCCCTCTATCCTCCGGGGCTGGTAAATTGGCACCAGAGTAATCCGGGAGGATAAAAAGCACTGACTTGAAAACGGCTGGCCCCCGCAAGTCACTGTAATAGGCTCGCACGCATACAATTGCATCTTCGACTATGAAGTTAGTGTGTGCGTTCGGCGCATGCCCTCAAAGGGTACTGAAGACGCCGAATCCTTTATCCTTTATTTTAAAAACCTAACTTGATCACGCTCACGTATAAATTATCCATCATTACAACCCTTATTGAAATTCACTTGGAGTCACTGGCTCACACTGGTTTACTTGTTTGGTGGGGTCAGATAATATACCCACCATCAAACCTTGTTTGCTTGTTAAAATCAAAATATTTTGCTGGCAAAAGGGGGCATGGGTACATCTCCATAAATCGCATCATTTAATTCCGATAATTTTAATCATAGAGCAGCCAAATACAAGTTTTCATCACATTTTTATCAAGATTTAGACCTAAACTAATGATGCACTATCGTTGCGGTTAGACTATAAATGACTGTTTTCGATTCTATTGTATGGAACGCCAATAGCGTATAGAATAAATAAATAAATAAAAATAAAGGATTTGATCAGCGCGCTGTACAAGCGCTCACGGAGGAGTTTCGACGAGATACGCGATCTTTACATTTTGGGCAAAATTCATGAGAACGTGTTTTTGTAGGCTCGTAACTCGGCGAATTTCACAGACTGGAGCCTGAGTAATGCACCATTCGATAGCATAATTGCTAGTAACTTTGAATGAAAAAAGCAAGCAGGCAAGGTTTCTGACAGATACGCGAGAATTGCGGCCAGAATTACGCACTTTCGTGATGCAGTTACAGGGCTTATCAAATGAAGTGTCGCTTGCTCCAGCATCCCCACTCCCGCGCTGGACTCTGTGTCTCTTCCGCGTAACGCTCTCTGAGTACTTTCCCAGGGCGAGCGTGGGGATGGCGGAGCCTCAATCGATTGAATGTGATTAGAGAGCATCTGCGCGGAAGAGACGCAGACCAGCGCGGGAGTGGAGATGCTGGAGCAAGCGACACTTCATTTGATAAGCCCTATACAGTCACCTCACCGTATCTCTCCAAAAAGACCCTGTAATCCTCAAAGACCACGATTTTCGTAAAGAGCGTGTTCGAAAACCTCTATAAGCGAAGTTTCCCTACAATTCAAGAGCATCAACATTTTGACCAAATTCCATCGGCGAGCTTCCGGAGCGTAAAACGAGAAAAAAAAAGAGAAAGAAAAGAAGTCTGAGCCTACTTTTCAGCGCACAATAATCTACAAGAACAGTATTATCGAATAGCACTTAGTAAAGTCTTCTATGTTGGGTAGGCGTCGCTTCAGATATTCGCGAAAGGACCTCCGCAGAACAAATTGAAAAAAACTGGAAACGGAATATCGAAAACATCGTACCCCCACTTCCAATATATCAGAAGATTTTCCGCGCCGAGCTGAATCGAATGGTGGCTTTGGATTCAGAATTCGTCCACACTGAAGCGAGATATGGCCACGCGACGCTGATGTATGGACATGTCCATACATGTACGGACATGTCCATACATGTCCATACATTCGCGTCTATTTTTCAAAAAATGTGAGCGGTATTGTAAATTTGGACAAAAATAGTGGTAATTTCAAAAGCCAACTTGATGAGTTTTGTCATTTTGTATATCCAACTTTTCAAATAGCGATTATAGTGTCCTGACACACTATTTCTTTACAGCTTCTTAGAAAGATCGGTTACATGGTCTTACAGCATCGCAACATAAAAACTTAAAGGCACGAGGACAATCAGATAGCAGGAGCATGGTCAAACATGTACGCTAATCTTCTCCTTACCTTTTCTTGCATGAAATTGTCCTTATCTCCATTGTCAATGACGTTATCGTCCAACTCTTGACTCGCTGAATCACCGCCAATGCTTGTGTCATTGGAAGCATCAGCCATGTAAGATCGTCTGCAATTTCAATTTTCAAAAACATTTGTGTTTTTTCAAGAAGATTTGGTAGACGATCACTACTTTCTAAATATAGCGGTATTTTTTGAATGACAGTGCGCCCAAACAAGAACCGTTTTTTCGCTTTTCCTGTATCCTTGCCAAAAATTGACACTTCACTTTCGAAAAGATTCAGATCTTCGATATGAATTTTTCACACTGTTACACTGATAACATTTACCAAAAGTTTGCAAAGACCAAATTTCTAGACCTTTTTTAATAGTCAGAAAATTACTTCATTAGGTTCTTCTCGTTCAAATATTAAAATGACATTAAGATTTTGAGAAAAAAATCTAGCAGGTTTTTTCTTCAACGACGCATTTTGCGTTGTAAAAAAAAAGTCGCTCGGTTTTGGTCTCTCAAGGTACCCCTTTGACCATCATAAGCATATTGTGCGTTAAAGAAAAAATTGCTTAAAAGCAGGGTGAAGAGGAGAGTGCGTACATCAGATGATACAAAAGTTTGTTTCTGGAAGTATCCTTGAATTTCGTAAAAGTGAGATGAAACAGCACGTGCCTCGCCAGTCGCTAATCGTTCTTTGCACAACCTCTGGGCGTCAAACTTTTCGATTTAGGAAGACGCGGAACAACAAAGTCAAGAATTTATCACATCAAGAGCGGTAGCGATCGAAGTCAAAATTTTCTACAGAGGTGTCTGCTCAACAAAATCCAACTAATGAAGTTATAAGGAAGTCTGTAAATTTCGTGTTTATGGTCCCTATTTTCATTTCTCGGTTTTAACCGTCGAAAAAGTGCAACAACTTTACTTATAAACGTGCAATGTAAATAGTATATGAATTACCAAGTCGAATTCTCCAAAATTTCTAAACAAGATGTATCGGACTTTTCGAATTTGATTTTGCTTCCAAACTTCACGTATACATAGTCGTTTCCTATTGTTTGAACTCTATCTTGTAGGGCCTTCTTTGGTTTATCGAATCGAATACAATTTAATTTCTACTCTGCCCATAGTCAAAGAAACCTGCTTAATTCACTTAAGAGAATTATTGAATTGATGTTCGTTAGCATTTTATTGTAGTCTTTTTCCTAGATTTTGTTAATGTCGGACACGTGCACATGTACATTTGAAAGCTCAAATTTTGATTTTTTGCGTCACTTTTCAAATTTGCAAAAATAGGGAATGGTTTTCGGCTCCGAAACAGAAATTCTGAAAACGAAAAAAAACTACTTTCGAGAAATTTTTCCTTTTGAGTTACTCTGGAAGAACCTTGTCAAAAAATTACTTAACAAACGTGATATAAACAAAACAGTAGACTAACTAATTATGTAAACACTGTAACCGTTTATATTTGCTCCGGTGTCTCTCGCATTTAAGTTATGTCAAGCTCTGTCGCTCAAGCTATAACATTATCCGTAAACGCCGATAATTTTGTGATACAGCCTATTTTTTCTGGCAATTCCCGATTGCTCGTCTATGATGCTCATTCCTGCCTTCTGAAGTTCGACATTGACATTCCGAAGACGTCAAGGAGAAAATCAATTTTCAAGTCCACAAGATAGGTTTTTAAAGGCAATTTTAAGCAAACGAGGCCAATAGTGTTTATTCAAAGCAAGTAGCTAATTTTTCTACTTGTTCCTAAAGTAGTATGACATAACTGAAAAGCGATGTTATATAGTCGCATGAAGACAGAACAGAATAAGGCTTTCAAAAGCAACGCGCATTTTACCTCATAACACCGAGATAAAGGAAAATTGGATTAACAATGTGAACGAACTATCACACAATCTGATGTTCTGAAGATGCAGCAAAATAAATTCGTGCGTACAGCCGCTATACCTTTTACAGGGTGCGCCAAAATTATTATCGCACTTTTATATATAATCGTTCATAGGTAGATCATTGACCGGATTACGATCGCTCATGACTGATTTTTTGTCAAGCACATCAAATAGTTGCTATATACAAAATTTGACTTGATATTGTTCATTCATACATCAATGGGGAAAGCAAATTTGCATAAACCTGTCATAGCGCAATTGTACTGCAAGGGCACTCGAAAAAGATATCCTCTAGACTGAAGCACCTATACCATCAAGCATACCTTCGATACATAGAGCCACGTACTCTGGTAACCTTCACTTTGAGTGTCATGAGAGGACACAACCTTCACCTGGAGAGGAGTACAAGTCATCCGGGCGAAGCCCCGGATATTATGACTTAACTAATAACTAACTATGTAAGGATGAATGTGAATGAGGCAAGTATAGTAGTGACATCCAAAGAAAAGCTCAAAGAACCGAAAGATTGCGTTTTCATGGCCTTTTTTGCTGAAAAGAGGGTTTTTCTTCAAAAATTCAGTTAGAAATTAGGATAAAACTTATCAGTTAGCCTTTCTATAGACTGCGATTGAGCGTTGGAGGTTCATGAAAGCCGCTGGAGTTCAACGAAAACGAGAAACTGCGCTGAAATCTTGCGCAGAGAGTCGCCACATAAATGCTGGTCTATCTCGTTATGGAGTGAGATTCAAGACCCGCGACGTTGTCAGTGCTCCTGGCCGTGTCATGAGGATCACAACGATATATAATATTATAGGGTTTCTTTATGACCCCGCGGAGATCAATGACCAGAGCCAAATGCCCCGCCGGCTCTGGTCTCTCTCCGCTGCTCGTCTGCGTCTCCGCGCGCTGCGCGCTACCTCGCTACCCCGAGCGCGGGGCGCGGGGCATTTGGCTCTGGTACCCTTTTCTTCGCTGTTTCGAACCCAATTTTAGCAAGCTATATATCATTTTGAAGCTCTTGATCTCTATTTTCACGCTGACAACGTCGCAGGACTCCTTTTTATGATTTAAGCAAGAAATCCGGCAAAAGCCTTGTTTTTGAAAATCTCTCGTTTTTCTCCTACTTTGACTCTTTTCACGCAGTTTTTTTGTGTAGTCGATAGGTCTTGTTTCTGTCTATAATGTAGACAACGTCGCCGAGCTTATTTCTTTGCTTATGCCGCTTTTTTTGTGAAAATTACTAAAAAATGCGTTTTTCTTTACCTTATTCTTTTTCAGTAGTTTCGCAACGAATTTTCTCCAGCTTGGACGATACTTGCTCAGAATGATGACCGGAAGAATCCAGACAACGTCGCAGGGTACAAGAGGGACGGCGCGGGGGTAAAAATTTAAAGGACGCATCAAAAATCAAAACCCCGTGTTGCGAATTGCTGGTCCTGGAGCGAAAACTTGCACTCTGTAAAGCCGCCAAATGAGAGATTTCAAATCTTATTGCAGCGTTTTTATCCGGTTTACAGCCGTTTCTTTTGCTTTTTATGTCTGTTTTACGTCATATTCTCTTCTCTGATCTTCTTTGAACAACCTTCACCATTTGTGACGTCAGATGTTCAAACAACCTTCACTTTTGGCGCCCTGTCTCTAGACTATCGAAGGTATGCCATCAAGCGATTGCGAAAGAACGGTGAGATAACTGACAGGCATCGTCGTGGAAGGAAAAGTGCATTTACTTCTACAACTTTTAGAATCAAGACTCGTATCGATAGAAATTCGAAACGTTCGATGAAGAAATTAGTGTGAGTGCAACGCCAGCATGGGAGGTTGTAATGAAAGTACTTCGTTTCTGTCCCTATCGTACGCAAAAAAGTCACATTCTCAACGATGCCAGGCTATAATTTTATATATATATATATATATATATCAGTGGCGTACCCAGGATTTCCACTCGGGGGGAGGGGGGCGCGACGAAAATTTTTTTCAAATGAAGGTGCGTGGCGTGCCACGCATTCCGAAAAAAATTTAGGAGTGCTTCTTAAAATTTTTGTGGGTCCCCAACCCCCAAAATCCGGAAAAAGGGGGCGTGGCTGACGCCACGCCCCCTTTTTCCGGATTAGCGACCCAACTTTGCGTGCCAAAAGGCGCGTGGACCCGTTTAACGCGCAAATTTTGAGAGACTCGCTTATCGAACCGGCTCGTCCTTGCGCATGGTGGACCTACACGCTGGCACGATATGTTATGCAAAATTGCAGCCCGATAGTTTAGGCTGGGTTCATACTGATTCCCTTGTTCCGGAACTGTTCCCGCACTGTTCCCGCACCGTGCTGGAACGTTTCGGAACTGTGCTGCATGCGCTGCAGCCGCCCCGCACGCGTTTTGAACGATGGGAGATGAAGATTTTGACCGTTTTCAGCGGTTTTTCTTTCGAATTTCTTTCATTTCGGCCTTATTCTTCTACCCCGCTTCCCTTTTTGCTCAAAAGGACTTCGAACTCAGAGCGGGGTCAAAGAATGGCGCTTTTCCGCTCTGCGTATGCGACGAAATGTGTGTTTTTGTGCTCGTCGATTTCCTTTTCGGTTTATTTTTAGTCAGTCCCATTCCATTTGTTCCAGGAAGCGCTGCCTAGTTTCTATAGCCATCTGCCACGAATTGGAGAGTGCAGGCAATCCTGAAATTGCATAATTTGGGACTTTTCTTTTGTTTTCTAATGAGTTTCGTTTTTGGGCATTCTCAGCCCCTTTCCTTTTTCAATTTCGTTGCTTTTCCGTTCTTTTTTCCAAACCGCTTCTCCTTCTCCTTAGAAAAGCTGCGAACTTGAAGTGGGATCGGGGATGGAACGCTGTTTTGCTCTATGTATTCGGGAAGGTGGGCCTTCGTGCACTCCTCCGTCTTCTCTTCCATTTTGTTTAAACCTACTTCATGTGCTCTATCTGTCTCTGTCCCTTTCAACAAATGCAATACTACGCAGCGCCCTCCCGGAACAAATGGAGTAGTTTTGAGCAAAAATCACGAAGAGAGAGAGGACAAGCGCAAGAGGGCCTATCTTTCCAGATACATGGAGCAGAACAGCGTTTAATCCTCTACCCCGCTTCGAGTTCGAGGTCCTTTTGAGCAAAAAGGGAAGCGGGGTAGAAGAATAAGGCCGAAATGAGAGAAATCTGGAAGGGAAACCGTTGAAAAGGGTCAAAAATGTTCAAGTTTCGCCATTCAAACCGCGCGCGGGGCGGC